CCCAGTCTCTACAAGAAAAGATGCCATAAGACTTCCTTATTGCCCCTAAGCAAGAAGGGGCCATGACCACAGTCCTGTGTTCAGATCACTAGTGGATTCCAACAAATGGTTTCCAAAGTTCATAACGGATTCCGAGGTACATTGGGAACACCACTAGGCTAAAAATTGGGAGTCTCCCTGAGAAAGTCATTTCACCTCTCAGGGCTTCCATTTCTTCATTAGTTTGGCCGGGGTGGGAGTGGGGGGTGATTGGAATGAATATTTTTAAAGTTCTCTTCAAGCTATCACAGCTTATCACGGAAGTCCCTGCTTCCTGGAATAGACATATCTATCACCTTGGCCCAGAAGGCAAAGCTAGGGCTAAGTCTCCTCCTTAAGACCAAGCCTCAAATTCTTGGCTGCTATCATGGTGAAGTAGCACTCTCAGTTCTTCTCCAAACAGAAACATTTTCATTGCAACAAGATTTACAATAACCAGGACATGGAAGCAACATAAATGTCATCAACAGGGGAATGGATAAAGATGATGTGGTATACATATACTATAGAATATTACTCAGCCATAAAAAAGAATGAAATAATGCCAATTGTAGCAATATGGACAGACCTAGAGATTGTCAAATTGAGTAAGTAAGACAAAGACAAATAACATATAATATCACTTATATGTGGAAACTAAAAAAAAAAAAAAAAACTACAAATGAAGTTACCCACAAACCAGAAGAATTATAGATGTAGAAAACAAGCTTCTGGCTAGCAGGGGTAAAAGGAGGGAGGTCATAAATTGGGAGATTGGGGTTTACATATACACACTACTATAAATAAAACAGATAACTAGTAAAGACCTCCTTACAGTTCAGGGAACTCTACTCAATATTCTGTAACGACCTATATGGGAAAAGAGTGAAAAAGAGCAGATATATGTATATGTACAATTGATCCACTCTGTTGTACACCTGAAGCTAACACAACAATGTAAATAAACTATATGCCAATAAAGGAAAAAAAAAACCTAACCTACCACCACACCTGGCCTATATTTACTTTCCTTCTGGAAACAAATGTGTGAGATGGCAACTTGTGAAGCCTCAGAAATTAATTCCATATGGACTTAGCATGCTATATAAAAAGAGCATCAAAGGAGGACACTGTGTGGAATATGGTTATCTGCTTCCTTTATTCTCTAAAGCTGAATATTGTCTGTTAGCGATAGGCCCCCTTGGAAACTTCTGACAGAGCCAAAGGATAGCAGTTGATGGAAGATCGGGGCAGAAACTGCAAAGGAAATCAGTAAACTTTCATCCAGGGTGTGACCAGGGCAGATGAAGAAGATGAAAAGTGTAAGAGATCGGAGAAGAAATGAAGAAGAAAATACGTTTTAAGAAAAAAATACTGGAGACTGATTCTTTTTCCACATTCAGTTCACTACCCTATACGTCAATGGTGTTTTCTACTTTGTTCATTTTTATAACAAATAATGATGAGAAAATATTTAAACAGCATCCTTCCCTGGTTAACCATCCAAGTCAAGTGGCAGTCCACAAAAGTATGATAGTTTCCAGAGTGGAGAAGCCACTACATTCTTATGATTAGCTAGCAGAGTTCAGATATGGCTACTGGGAAACCCAGAGGTGGACCACTTACGTCTCAAGGACACAGGCCAAATCAACCTCTCCTATCTTTCATGTGACATATGCAAGAACCCTTTTTTTTTTTTTGGTGCCACTCTGTGAGGCTTGCAGGATCTTAGTTCCCCAACAAGGGATTGAACCTGTGCCCTCTCAGTAGTGAAAGCACAAGAGTCCCAACCACTGGACCACCAAGGAATTCCTGAAAGAATACATTTAAACAAAACAAGAAAAAAGATTTCCTTTTAAAAGAAAGAACCCAAAATAAATAAATAAAATAAAATAAAAGATAGAACTCAGTACTCAGGGAACTCAGAATACCACTGAGAGCTGAGTGATTTATGGCGCCCTGTTTGTATATATCCTTAGTTAAATAAGATTTGTCATCTGTTGATTATTTTAAAAATTTGCTATAGTCAGTGTATTTTCGGTAAAAAAAAAAAATAAGTTTGGGGTACTTCAGAGATCTAACAGAGGAGTGTCAGAGAGCTCTCTCACAGAAGTCAAAGAGAAAGGCCATGTCTCTTGATCCTTACTGCAAGATGAATTTATGTAAATAATTTGTTTTGTTTATTCTTTTATCAATATCTCCTTCTTTCAAACATAAATTCCATAGGTATCTATGTTTTTCACCACTGAATCCCCAACCCATAGCATATATTGAAAAGCATTAAGGAAGATAGAAATGTACCACTTGTAAAAAGGAGGAAAATGTGATATGGTTCTCTATTCACATTTTTACCCTCAGGAGATTTTTGTTTGTTTTTTCTTTTATATAGATCCCATAACACATTTCTCATTAAGCTTACTCCTGGGTATTTTGTGAGTTTTGTTTTTAAAAACAAAATCTCTCTTTTTCTCTCATTGTACTTTAAAGCCCATCCATGCTGGCATGTGAAAAAACTTTTGATTTGAGTAAATCTATTGTGCTTGCAGCCCACACACTAAACTTTCTTATTAAACCCATTAGTTGGGGGTTCCTTTTGTCTGATTCTCTAAGTAGACCAGGTATAAAATCATATCATTTGCAAATAATAAAATTTTGTCTTTTCCTTTCCAACAATCTAAATCTTGTTTCTGCTTCATCTTATAATCTATTCACGGTTCTAATGAGAAGGCCTCTGGTTTTTCCTCATTCTGATTTTCACATCTGGAGCCTACCAACCTCTCATGTGCTCACTTCCTTTCACTTTACTCTTATTACAGGCCACTTAAAATAATCCTAATGAAATAATGTAAGTCTTAATAACACCAGGGCGGTTAGCTCTCAAAGAAGTTTCCTTTCTGTTCCTAAACCACAATGTGAACGCATCCCTTTGCCTCTGTTGAATACACACACACACACACACCCCAGATGTCGCACACCCAAGCTACGCCACTTCTGGGATTGAGGGGCTGTGGTGGGTGGTGGGACAACTCTGATGCCTCAAGGGCTCCAGCACATCCACAGCCCTTGTGGCTAAGGCACTTCCTGTGGCTCTAAGAACATCAAAAGCTGGCACCCTTGTCATAAACACATGTATTCCCATGGTGAGTCCTGGCAGCGCCATACGAATAAGCAGATCGTAACGGTGTGTATGTCCTAATAACCACAAACCACGAACATATTGAAATGATACACAAAGAATTACTCTGCTCCTGCCCCAGACAGTGACTCTGGTGGACTCTGGCTCTTTCCTTGGTCTACCCACCCACCCATGCTTGAGCCAATTCTTGTTCCATCCCCTCTACCTAACTGAAAGCAGGCAGAAACTGTAAACTACCCTGGAGCTCATGGAGAGACGCTGCCCTTCTCTGGCCTCAGACCTTCTCCACCTCCTGCACACCTCCCCTCCCTTTCAGAACCAAGCTCGGCCACAAGCTGCCTCCAGGTGATGAAGGCCATGGTCATGAATACAGGGCAACATACCATCATGTGCAATGGCATCAGGACCTACGTGTAAAGACCTGATGTACCACCGTGGCAAGGAGGTCTTCTCCCGGGAAGCCCATCCTCCCCAGCCGGCTGTCCAAGCTTTACTGCTGTCAGAGTGGCCAAGGGGAAGCTCGGTGTCATCTCCACTCTCCTAGGCATTCAAGACTATTCCCAAGACTTCTCTTGGGTTTTCCCAACCATAGCAGCAGGAGTGTCATGATGGGGAGGAGACCTGGGAAGCAGATGACAACAGCAGTTACAGTTCCCCATCAGCCAGCCCTTGGCACTGGCTACCGTCTCCATCACTCTCAAGTTATGTTCGAAGAACTCAGAACCTTCCTTCTCCCATTTTACCCTCTTGCAGAGCTACAGGGACCCTGGTCTAGTAGAAGAGACAAGAGTATATGTGTGTGTCCATGCTGCTGTTCATGGATTGGGGCGGCGGGGGGGACTGCCTTTGTCCCCACCCCCAGCTTCTTCCCTCCACTTCTCACTCCCTCGAGAAGTGAAGTAAAGTGAAAGTCGCTCAGTCGTGTCTGACTCTTTGTGAGCCCATGGACTATAAAGTCCTGGAATTCTCCAGGCCAGAATACTGGAGTGGGAGCATCTCCCTTCTCCAGGCGATCTTCCCAACCCAGAGATCGAACCCAGATCAACCGCATTGCAGGCGGATTCTTTACCAACTGAGCTATCAGGGAAACCCCTCTGCCCGCCCCCCCCCGAGAAGTCTGCAGCAAGTGTGCTGACCTGAGCTATATTCCCAAACCAACCCTAATCCCAGCTTTTCTAATGCTTGTTCCCAGTGCTATATTTCATTCATTCATTCATTCATATTTAGTTTCATCCAGCCCCCAGCCCTGACCAGTGCCCACCCCTAAGGCCCGGGCCAGCAATCCAAGCCCTGGTATTATACTAATAATTCATCACTGCAGCTAACGCTTTACGCAAGTACATGTACACACACACACACACACACAAACACACACACACACGTGTATATATATCTTTACAGCAAACCACTGAAGTAGGTACTATTATTACTCCCCCATTTTACAGATGACAAAACTGAGACTCCAGGGGATTAGGTGATTTGCCCAAGGTCGCAGAGCTTGTAAATAGCAGAGCTGAGATTCGAACCTAAGGTCTTTAGTCCTAACCTCTGAGCTCACGCCAACACAGGAAATGTTACCCCCATCCCCAATCCAGCCACAGCCCCACTCTCAGATTCTCCACATCTGACGGCAGTCTGTGCTCCTTGATAATGCAGCTGAGCCCACACCTAACGCCAGGAGGAAGAGTCTGCCCACCTACCCCATCAGGTGCTCACCTGACACAACCCTACCCCTCCCACAGACAGCAACGGAACCCAAGTCAGTGAGAGGTCAGCGCTGAGCCAGGCCAGGGGGGTCCTAGGAAGCTCATGGAAGTCCTAGGGAGCCTCCCAGCTGCTGACTAAAATGAGCTCCAGACACCCAGGATGCGGCCATGGCACCGCAGGCCTACCTTCCGGCACTGTGGAGGACGTTGCCGCATCAAAAGCATTTCTGTGTCTGAAACCGGCCGTGAGAACCAAGCAGTGGGCAGCAGAAGGCAGCTGTGGGAAGAACAGAAGGCCTGAGGGTGAGATCCACAGAAAAGAGGCCTGGACAGAGACCATCACCTCCCCTGCAAGAAACAGCAGTGCAAACCGTCTATTGCCGTTCCAGCAGAACCCTGGGTGTCGACTTCTCTGAGCTGTGTGCCAGCAACTCCAGGCTGCTGTCATGCAGCTTTCTGGACCAAACTGCATTCTCCCACTTTATGTAACTTGCCCAGCAAACACGCCTAGGTTTACTCTCAAGTTGATTTGGCATCTCTCAACTCCATCTGTCCCAATTCCCCCATCCCCATGCTTCTAGCACTTCTTAAGACATCCATCACTGTGGATTATTATTTACAGTCAGATGTACAATTTGTTCAGAATTTACAGGCAAACTCATTTAGTTCTTATATTCATGAGTCACTTAGTGCTTTGAGACAGGCATCATGCCCGATTTACCGATGGGGAAACTAAACCCTAAACTCAATTGCCCCAGGTCAGGCAATTGACATAACACTTGATGAGGGTCAGTATAAGACAAACAATTACATATTGCTTTTACTGAGATCAAGATAGTATCTTTTACTGAGAACAAGACAACTTTGTTTTAGGAAATGCTGGGCAGGAAAAACAAAAATGACCCACTGGTTTCTCTGGCCTTTGAGTCACCAGTTTCAGATTCTGAGTTAACTAACTTAAATCAGCCTGCCTATGGGGACTTGCCCTTAACGCCTAGGCTATCCCAGCTGTTATTCCCTTTGTTCCTACTCATTCCACCAGTGCTAAACAGAGTTGTACAAGAAAGGAAGAACCAGTACTGAAGAATTCCCAATACAACACAGAGGGACGTTCCCACCAACCTGTACCGCAAAACCAATAACTCAGATACAGGACAGAACCCGTAATACTAATTTATGCACGGTGTAGGGAAAGAACTCTATCGAACTCTTTAAATCCCAACATAGAACATTTCCAAAGGGAAGCAAAATTTGTTCCAAAACTAAGAGAAAAAAAAGATGCCATAAGAGTCATTTTGCGTCTATTTCATTATCTCGTTAAGACAAAGCTTTCCAGTCACAATGAGTGAGCATGTTGAGGGGGTGGAGGGAATACAACAGCAAAGAGCATATGAAACACGAACTAGAAAACTTGGTTCTAAGCTGGGGGAATCATGGTATCTTTAGTGGCCTTCAGGCATCTTGGCACATCTTGGAAGCTCCTTCAAAAATTTGTGTGTATGTGTGTTTTTTTGGAAAGAAGGTTCATAGCTATCATCAAGAGGCCCACTTATTGGGGAAAAAAACTACTAAGAACTACTAACTTGGGCTTCCCAGGTAGCGCTAGTGATAAAGAACCCACCTACAGGAGACCTAAGAGACGCAGGTTCAATCCCTGGGTAGGAAGATCCCCTGTAAGGATCTGTAGAGATCTGTAGAGATCTCACCTGCAGGGATCTGTAGAGATCTCCCATGCAGGGATCTGTGGAGCTCTCCCCTGTAGGGCGGCATGGCAACCCACTCCAGTATTCTTGCCTGGAGAATCCCAGGGACAGAGGAGCCTGGCGACCTACAGCCCATAGAGACACAAAGAGTCGGACATGACTGAGGTGACTTAGCATGCACACACAGTACTAACTTATAGTAAAAATAATATTTTCTATAATCCAGCAGTATTTTCTAAAACGCAATTGGCCCTCCCTCCTGAAATAGTGACCTCCCCTCAGTGGCACCTCAGAGGAGCTGGGGGGCACCAGGAACTCAGTGACACCAGGTTTGGCAGCCACCTCACCAGCCCTTCCTACCATTCCTGTGCCCCGGCTTCGTCTCCTCTGCAATGGAAGCCCATAGCACCCTAATTAAGCCAAACTGGGAACATTCAAAAGTACTAAACTTTTATATAGCATGGGAAATAAACACCCAGTCCCCAAGAGAACTCAGCTCAAGTCACCTGCAGAATGGCTCAGGGAAGCCTGGATGACTGGAATCAGTCAAGGAAGCAGATGAGCTTTCGGAAGGTTAGGGAGGAAGAGCATACTACATGGGCTGGGCTTGCAGGTGTAACAAGCACAGATCAGAGGCAGGAACAGATTAAAGCAACAGAGAGGCTAGGAAGGAACAGATGGTCTGGTCCAGGGCCAGGGAGGAAATGAAAGGCAAGATGAAGGCCGTATCATTAAGCATTACTGAGAGATGAAGCTTGAACTTTTGTGTGGAAGATGTCAGAGACTGGGCAGATTTCAGTGGGGAAATAGATTACGTGACTATGTTCTACAGAGGAAAAGACTGAGAAGTAGGGTCTAAATGAATAGAAGACAGAAGAAAGATATGACTGCAGAGAAGAGAAATAGGCCAGCACATGGAGTGTCAGGTATTAATTTTGAGGGCACATGGTAGATGAATGGACAAGTCAACAAGAGGCATACAGGACCAGATACAGGTGTGGATAAGTGGGGTGCCTCAGGTCAAAGGAAATGGAGGGGTCCTCCCCTTCCTTTCCTTACCACAGACTTCTGTGGGTGACAGGCCTCCCACCACATGCCTGTAGCCTGTCTGCATAGAGGTCTGCCCTCAGCTCTAGGAGCTGGCTATTAATGTAGAATTATTGTAAGTACTTGTGATGGTCTCAATGTCCATCTCTGCCTATACTTCGTTGGAGCAACCTTTTTCTCAACTGAGTAGCAAAGATTAAAGAAAAATATAAATTACATCACAAGAAAGTCAGAAAATAACTAATAGTCTCCAAGTCATTCTAGAACGAGTCTTACACCCTGAACCTGGTGTGCATTCTTTTCCTATATTTGTTGTTATTGTGGGAAATGGTGAAATTCTCAACATCATAATGACTATTAGAAAATGACTGGTTAAATAAATTAGAATCTATTTATACTCCGGAAACTATGTACTACTTTAAAGAATAAACTGCATCCAGATCCAGATGTACTCACATGGAAAAACAGCCAAGATTCCTTTTTGGATTGAAAAAAAAAAAAGTTGGAGATCACATATATAATGTGATCCCACTCAATAAAGAAAATTATACAAATAAATATATATTGTATAAATGTGCTTGATATTCAATCATTCAGGAAATATTTATTGAGCATCTTCTGTGTACCAGGCATTACACAAAAATCTCTGCCTAATCAGTTCTAATGAGATGGATGAAACTAGAGCCCATTATACAGAGTGAAGTAAGCCAGAAAGATAAAGACCAATACAGTATACTAATGCATATATATGGAATTTAAAAAGATGGTAACGATAACCCTATATGCAAAACAGAAAAAGAGACACAGATGTAGGGAACAGACTTTTAGACTCTGTGGGAGAAGGCGAGGGTGGGATGTTTAGAGAGAACAGCATTGAAACAAGTACACTATCAAGGGTGAAACAGATCACCAGCCCAGGTTGGATGCATGAGACAAGTGCTCAGGGCTGGTGCACTGGGAAGACCCAGAGCGATGGGATAGGGAGGGAGGCGGAGGGGGGATCAGGATGGGGAACGCATGTAAATCCATGGCTGATTCATGTCAATGTATGGCAAAAACCACTACAATAAAAAAATTTTTTTTAAAAATCTCTGCCTATACAGAACTTACATTCCAGTGGGGAAGATGGATAATTAAATTAGAGAAAAAGCAAAAGGTATATGTACAAACGGCTAAGGAATTTTTTTTAAAAAATCAGGGAAGGGGGAATAGAAGTGTCTAATCTAGACCACTAAGAAGTATATTTGAGTAAAAAATGGAGGAAGTGAGGGAGATTGTCAGGCTGATGTCCTGAGGAGGAGCCTGGGAATTAACAAAAGCAGAAGCTCTGAGGCAGGAGCATGCCTGGAGGGTTCCAGCCGGTGGGGAAGGAGGGACTGAGCAAGCAGGAGCACAGTAGGGGTAAGAGGGCCTTGTAGACATTGTGAGGACACTGCTTTCACCCTTAGTGAGATGGGGTGTGTATGTTAGTCACCAAGTTATGTTCAACTCTTTGCAACCCCATGGGCTGTAGTTCCCAAGCCTCCTCTGTCCATGGATTTCTCCAGGCAAGAATACTGGAGTGGGCTGCCATTTTCTTCTCCAGAGGATCTTCCCGACCCGGGGATTGAATCTGGGTCTCCTGCACTGCAGGTAAATTCTTCACCATTGAAAAGCATATTAGGAAAAAAACATTAATAACAGTTAAGTGAGAAATGGGATTAGTAAGAGGTGTGGAAAAAAATCTTTTAAATTTTCACATTATACATTTTTATACAAATTTTAATTTTTTTTGAGCTTCTATGCCTTTTGTTATTAATTTTTAAACCAGCTCAAACTCAAATTTCTACTTTTAATGGTAAAAATCATCACTCCAATAAATATATAAATTCAATTAATTTGCTACTTTTTTAATGGTCTGTGTTTTCTTAGATTACATATTTGTCTACCTGGCATCCATTCATCATAGAGCAAATTATGTTAACAATATTCTCTTATTTTCTGTATTCTTGATACTCTGGGGCCCTTGCAGACCCAGAGACTAATTCCTAAAGGTAATAACAACTTGCCAAGGAACACACCTTTCATATGCAAACCAATCAGTCTCCCATATATACCCCCAATGATCTCTTTATCTAACTCTCACACAACCTAGCCAATATTTCCCCCACCCTAAATCAAATTGAGGGCCAGTTACCAAGCAAGAGGGACAGCCCCTCTGTCCCAAGGCCCAATGTAGTTATTCAAGCTAGCCAGTTCTAAACCACTCACTCTGTCCCACCTTGCCTTGCCAAGAAAGGCTCTTAATGATTCCTCCCCTCCCCTCTCCTGCCTGTCCTTTCCCTGGGGGCCTTATATGATACAATGTAAAATCTTCATTCAACACCACTGACATCTCCATGCCAAACCTCAAACGTCTATAAATTAAATCCTGGGAATAATTTTAGAACAGGTAGCTATGTTTCTTTAAAAATTCCAAGGATTTCCAAGAGAGGAAGAGGGACCATTGTGTTTTGTTTTTCATTTTAATTGCTGAATTAGCTTTATCCAGCTCATTCAAACTTCAGCTTATGT